ACGGAACGAACAGGGGATGTTTCAGTATTTTTATTTAACATATACCGTGAACATCCACTGGTCCTCCCATCGAGCCCTTATCCTAGACGTGTCAGGGATTCGAACCCCAGCTCAGAAATTGGCACGCCGACGAGTGAAGATCTCCATACAGGGTATACCACGCATACATTGGACGAATAAGCAAAAGTTCGGAGAACAGTTTTAAATTTTAACGTTTTTAAGCAATTCTCAACCTTTCTCGACAAAAAACAGGAAGTACGGACCCCCACGCATGAACGGAACGCCAAAACAAAACCGGAGGCCCGCGCAATAAACGACGCCGACACGGCACTGCCGAATTACTCGCGCCTGCGCAATAAAAGGCACCCCTCACTCTGGCTGCCAGACTAATGGCAGGAGAGCGTTTCAGGGCCAGCTTTTACAAAATCATCGTAATATTCATATTACAGACCATTACAGACTCGAAAAAACTTTTCTTTTATTTTCTCATCACTAAAAGATTTAAGAAGTGAAAATTATAACAGGTCCGTGTATATATGTGTTTTGTGTCTTATTATTTAATATAAAAAGTTACTAAAATGTCTCGAGTTGTGCAAATTGTGTGATTGTATATTTCATGTCGTGACGATCATATGTGAATATATTATATCGATTACATGTTTTTATAACAAAAAGAAGAAAAACACAAAATACTCTCTGCATATCATAATCTTTATTTTCGATACTTCAACGAACGATAATACTCTTCAGCGCCGAACAAAAATTCATCCATCATTCCACGTTCACTGCATTTTCTTGATCTTCAGAAGAATGCACTGCACTATCGGTATCTTCTATATTAACTGTAGGTAAATCAATTTTCCTAGAGTACTTAATGACTTCGCGAACGCCCGAGGCAAGATTAGCTTGATAATCCATGTTTTCTACGCGACACTTCGTTGTTACTTTTACTTTACTTTTACGGATCATACCCTCGCCGCTTAAAATAGAAGTTTGAGACGGATATCGCGGTAACACTTGTTCGTCCGGAAGTGGTAAATTATCTAAATCCACGTCTTCAAAGCCGAGAACTAAACACAGAAGAAACCAACTAGAAAGGAGTAAACACTAATGCAAACGGACGACCAACAGGTGAGGAGCGCCAGGAAGTTTTTGCTAGGGAAGATTGAGCTATGCAAGGCCCGAGAACCCTGGGGTGCGCAACTGAAAAATTGCAAATTATTTTTACTTTTGAAAATTATTACTTTTTGTGTGACTTACTTGTGTATACCGATGACGCGCCACCGTATACGACCAATATACGACAGCTGTCGTACAGCCGCAGTACGCAACTGAAAAATTGCAATTTATTTTTACTTTTGAAAATTATTACAAAAACACACTGAATGAACACATATGGCTACTGCGCGGTGGCATATGCTGGTTATATGCTGTCGACAGCATGTCGGCGGCTTTTAGTGAGGCTTCTAGTGGTTGGGCTGTTGTTAGGTTCAACTGTACGAGGCAGAAAACGGTGTAGTCGTCCAAGACCTATTACTGGACTTAGTCTCTTTCGAAACGGTCACCGTCTGACGCTTGACATCAGGATACGTCATTTCCTCTACGGCAACCGATGTCACAACAGCTACGTTGGAAAAAGAAGAACTTGCCGTTGTACTTATTGTCGGAGTAGCTGTCGTCAATGGCGTGGTAGTCCCCGTCGAAGATTCTGATCTGGAAACACCGTCACCTTCCGGACCAAAACATTCACCGCCTACCAGTTCAATCTTGTGGCTACTCGAAGCTCCAACACAGGAAACGTTGCCGTCAAGGATGACCATCTGTGCATTTTTTTTTAATATTTTATTTTTTCGGAATGACGCGAATTTATTTTCTTACCGATATTCCGTTGAACGACGCGCAGTCTAGATTCAATTCCTGTCCATCTAATTTGACTATACCATCGTACGCATACGCGTTACGGACACCCTCCTTGCATAAATCTTTACAGGTCCATATTCCATTTATTAATTGACAATTGCTTTCTTCATTCTGAGACTTTACCAGAGTATTAAATATTACGCAAAATCCAATCACCAAAAATTGCAGAGCTAGCATTTTTGCAAACGGGTTGGAGATGATGTCAGTAACACTCAACGTTCACTGGGTCAAAGCAGAGAGACGAATGGGAATCAATACCTTACCTTTGTGCAGAGAATCGTCGAAAAACTTTGCTGATAACAGCAAACAAAGATGTCAGTAACACTCAACGTTCACTGGGTCAAAGCAGAGAGACGAATGGGAATCAATACCTTACCTTTGTGCAGAGAATCGTCGTTTTTGAAACGACTATTGTCGTTTGTTTCCGTAGCGATAAAAAGCGTGAAAAAGTGTGAAGCTCAAGCGTGAAACCGAATCTTTTCGTCCGAAAAGAAAAACACGGCCCACTAACAATAGTCACACTCAATATGACAATACTTGGGAAGTACCCCGAGGCGAAACTTTCTGGCGATCCTTTGGTGCATTGATTACTTTGCAACAAAGTAATATTATATTCCCGCTGTTTAATATTCTCTCTGCGTCCCGAGACGCATCGACAAACGACATCAACTCTTATCCTTACCCAACATCAAGGAGAGAACTTAACGTTTAACAGTTGGACGGTTTCTTAAATTGAAGTTAACAAGGAAGGCGACAAGACACATTGTCAAATTTTATTTAATTTTTGGAAACCGGACAACAACACAAAAAAAAACCTTCAATAATACATTCCATCAGTTGCACCAATCTCCTCATTTTTCTGAGGATTATGTGTGAAATCACTAGGAAGTATGTTTGAAGCAAGTTTGATTACAACTTCGATCCATGCTACAAGAAGGAGCAGTCAGTCACATTTGGAGTTCGAAATTTTAGTCTGTGCATGCCTTAGTATGGAAATGGCTACCTCGAGAATCAATTAAACTTTCCTCAAAAAATGATGTTTTACTGGGATTGGGACATTTTTATAAAAAAAATCGTTTTAACATGTACTCTATGGACATTCTGCCGGGACTTGAGAAAGAAATTGTGTGAAACGGAACATTTTGTTCTAACGGTAGTGGTTGTAAAGAGGTTTTACTGTCACCAATTTTTTTTTTCAGACTCTCCTGCTTGAAGTGCTTTTGAATTAAAATATGTCATTTGATTTATTTCACAACCGCGCTGTTTTATAATGCGCTTAACCCTGTGTTGTGGTTAATCCCCAACCGTCTCGTTTTTCTGCATGCAATTTTTTTTTACAGCGTTCATAATTTTTGAATGCTCGAAAAAATTTGTTTGACGATTTCAGACGCGAAAAAATAACATTTTTTCTGCTTTTTTTTATTTCCAGCAGGAATCTCATCGGAATGGGTCTGCCCGAAGCACTCCACAGCAACAAGCCACTACACAGCAGCAGCAACAACAACGTCCGCCTCTGAACATGGAGCGGCTTTGGGCAGGCGACAAAAGTCAGTTGCCGCCCCAAGCACAATCAGGCATGGACTCGGGCGCCCTAAACTTGAGCGTGCAGCATTGGTCGCCGCAAGACGGGACGACTGGGCACGAGTCTTTCCATCCGGCGAGTCGAGTGCCGAGTCACGAAATCGGCGCCCACGAAGAGGAAGACGACGAACAGCCCATGGTTTGCATGATCTGCGAAGACAAGGCCACTGGCCTTCATTACGGCATCATCACTTGCGAAGGGTATGTTCATAATTATTATCATTTGTTTGGGTTTCTTTTTTTGGGGTTGGCAAAAAAAATAAGTTGTTGATTCATTCGTTTTCCATGATGTGTATGTGGGATTTATGTCTTCGCTTTGTGCAATTGCAGATGCAAAGGCTTCTTCAAAAGGACAGTACAAAATAAGCGCGTGTACACGTGCATTGCTGACGGGAACTGCGAGATCACCAAAGCGCAGCGGAACAGATGTCAATACTGTCGGTTCCAGAAATGTCTGCGACAAGGAATGGTTCTTGCTGGTGAGTCTCTTTTTTTTTTCCTTCTACAGTCAATCCTCTTGAACTTCAAGGGATCAGCAAAAAATTCGAGTTATGAAAGCGAGCTTTTATGTTGGGGACTTGGGGAAAGGGGAAAAATAATTATTGCAGGAAATTTCAATTGTTGATTCTCTTGGCATTGGATTGCTTCCTAAATGATTTGACAGTATGCTTAACTTGGAGGCAAAGGCCCCAATTAATCTTTCTTGTCCTCTCCGATAACATAAAGTTAAATTTTTAATGCTTTTCTCTCTCCTGTGTCGATACGAAAATAACGAAAGACATCCAAAAAATTTCAGTTATCGAGGTTTCAATAGGGAAAGCCTTCAAGTTAGGGAGGTTTTTTAATGCATAAATTCCACAGGTATTCATAGAGGGGCTTTAAAAAAATTCGACATGCTTAGGTGCAGTATTTGAGTTAGAGAGGTTCGAATTATCGAAGTTCAACTGTATTTTAGATTAAATAAGAGTACCGTTCGGGTACTTAGTCTTGGATTAACGATGTAGTTCGTTGGGGAAACAGTATTTATGCTGTAAAATATTGCGATTTTTCTAACGCTAGACAGCAGAGTTCTTTAACATGATTTTCTCTCATCTCTGAATTGCAGCTGTGCGCGAGGATCGAATGCCTGGTGGCAGAAATTCAGGGGCTGTGTACAACTTGTATAAGGTGAGTGTCAATTTATGAGATTATAACGCGAACAACATTTCACAGCCTGCGTCTATATTTGAGCCCAACATTTTGTTTCAAAGCGATGTATTTGGGTTTAACTTGATCTATTTGATGTTTGTTTGACAGGTGAAGTACAAGAAGCATAAGAAGTCGCCAAAGAATGGCCAGTTGAAAGGTGACGTCAACGGAGGGAAAGGGGGCATGATGCACCAAGGCGGAAAACTGGGCAATTTCGTGTCTCCAATCTCAGCTGAGCAGTCGCCCATGGGTGGCCCTCTTCCACTTTCGAATGGCAATATTCTCAAGACAGCTTTGACCAATCCTAGTGAGGTGAGTTTTCTCCCGAGCCCCCGAACTGATCGATTTAAAATATCCCTGCGCTCAGTTTGGAAGTCGTGCGTGATCTATTCTAGTATCATTATGCCCGCAACTTGTATTGTTCCATCTTTTGTTGCACGAGGTCGCTTAATTCTTGGCGTAATATTAAAGCTCGATCCTAAAGTCTCTTGGCTTTTTTCCTTGTAGATAATCCGTCTGCGTCAGCGACTTGATGCCGGATCGTCAGTGACGAGCAGTAGTAGTGCAAGCAGTGGTGGTGGCAGTCCTCACAGTGGGCCCAGCGGAGATCACAGGTTCTCCCCACCGGCGCCACCTCCGCACACGATACAGCCTCCAGTTCATTTGTCCCACCCTGGTTACTTGAACAGCCCGAGTCCCGTCAAACTCGAACGCAGTGCAAGCGCGGAAGCAGCTGATGCATTAATTCAGCAGCTGTTGTCGTGTGACGATTTCGAGGATATTGCCACGCTTCGGGTTAGTTTTTGAGTGACTTTTATCTTCGAGCTTTTGAGTGAAGTATAATGTGATTTTTCGTGTGCAGAACATTGACGAGCTGTTGGACAATGAATCTGAGCTGTCGTCCAAACTGTGTCAGATCGGCGACTCAATCGTCTACAAGCTTGTTCAGTGGACGAAGCGCTTACCCTTTTATTCCGAATTGCCGGTTGAAGTGAGTTCTGCTTTCTTTCGTAACATAGCGGACCGTTTTCTAAGTTGTACGTTTTTTTCAAGGTGCATACAAAGTTGTTGACTCAGAAATGGCACGAGCTTCTGGTCCTGACGACTTCGTCTTATCAAGCAATTCATGGGGCCAACCGACTGGCTTCAACGTTGTCGGACGGCACCGAGGCTCATTTCTCACAAGAGGTTGGTTTCAATTTCATAGTCACAGCCTCGGGCTTTTTGCTTCTAAAATTTAATCGGATGTGGCTTCGGATTCTTACGGTTTTCTCTGTTCCTATTTCCCTTCCTGCTTCCTTTTGCGCGTTTCCGAAATGGATGACAGTGTGCCGATAGCACGTCTGAATCTGTTGAAGCGGACTCATCAGAAGTGGTAAGATAAGGCTTCCTCTCTGGATCTTTCATGCTTGTCTTGTTTTCATTGGTTTCCTCTTGGGTTTCTGTTGAGTTTGGACGATTTGTCCTATTGTATATCCCACGCGTGGCGGATTTTTTTTGGGCTTACAAGTTACAACATTTTCTTGTATTTCGCTTTTTGCAGGTGTCAAACAACCTTTGCACCCTTCAGACCTGCCTGACCTCCATGATGGGGCGTCCTATAAGCATTGACCAGCTGCGATCTGAGGTCGGCACAATGGTGGAGAAGCTGACGCAAGTCACGATGAATCTCAGGCGTTTGCGAATTCGCCCTCAAGAATACGTGTGCCTCAAAGTTATTGCCATGCTGACTTACGGTATGTTGCTACTTGAGATGCAATTGCCTGCAGTAGTTATAATCCTTTATTTTTCACTTCTTCCAGGTAAAGGAGCGGAAGAGACGAATACGGTACTCGACACTATCCGAGAGAGATACCTATTGTGCCTGAAAACGTTCTGTGAGAGTTATTTCCCGCACCAGGCGTCCAGGTTCACCGATTTGCTAGTCCGACTACCTGAGGTTAGTATCGTTTTGTTAGTCTTTTTCAATATTTTTTAAAGTGTGTGTGCATTCTCCGAGAAGCAAAACATTGAAAGCCTCCTGAACTCGGAGGCTAAAACAAGGCTTAAACCCCCTTGAATCGAATTTTTTTTGAGTCCTTATGGCGATTATTTTACCGACGCAGGAAAGATCAAAGCAGTAATTTTTTTGAATAAAAGTGAAAGACTAAGTGGTTCAAAAATAAAAAAAACCTACCTCCCAGCAAAACGTCCTGTCAACCCATTTAAGAAACAATCTAAGGCCTAGAATATCACCAAATACAATATCTTGAAATTTTTCTTTCTCTCCCCCAACAAAAACGCTCGTTTCACTAACCCGGAACTTCCTTACTCGAATTTTTTATTTGGCTGGACCCTTGAAGTACTACATGAAGAGGTTCGACTGTATTTAAAATCTTTTAAGGGGAATAGAATAATAGATGGAAAATTATTTTTATCTTTGTTTTCTTCAATTAGGTTCAATCTGCGGCAAGTTTGCTGTTGGAAAGCAAAATGTTCTACGTGCCGTTTTTACTCAACTCAACGATCAGACGGTAGCTCGTGAGAAAGCTTCTCAAGTCCCGTCGCCGGAGCCTTCTTCCTCGTCGGTTCTCGGATTCTCGCCTTGCGTCCGATACAAGCGGCGCTTCTGTCCGCTATTTTTCGCGGATCCGACTTTGCGCTATTTTTTCTTCTCGCCGATTGTGAGGAGAGCCTTTGTTATGCGCAGATTTATCTCTTTTTTTTCGCGAGACGATTGGCTCAAGCTATTTTTCTACTTTCATTTCCGTTGTTTTTCGTGACAAAAAGTGACGGATCTCCTCCGACTGCATTGAGTACACGCTTCCTCTCGGTTTCTGCTCTCACACATCCGCGATTATTTTGGAGAAACCTTAATTTATTTTGCGTTTTGTCCTCGACGTTTGAGAGCTTGAGACTGGAGGATCATTCCTTTCAGTCGCGCTCCTTCGTCCGAGACAAGGTCTAGCGGTGGTTCTAAGTTACCCATTTTTCAATTCGTTTTGGTCTGCACTCATCTCGAGTCGTCCCGTAGTTTGAGTTCCGTTGGCGCTGTAAGGCTGAAGTGTACGATGATCTCTACACTCGGAGGGGACAAGTTTAATTTATTGATTGCCAAAGAAGGTTTTGGTGCCGACGGGATCCCTTGAACTCGAGAGCCATCTCGAGCGCTCCGGCGAAGGAATTCTGCCTTGGATAGGTCGTAGATTCTAATTTTTTTCTCGAATGAGTCGGGAGCAAAGTATTACAGAGAGTGGGAAGTTTGTTGTTTTCTCGCCATTTAACACTGGTGGGCGAGATTTTTTTTTCGCGTCGAAGCTAGTCGTATTGTTTTGTTTTTGTTTTGCACGGTCCCTGAACTCGGTTCTATGCGTAACGTGTACAGAGCAGGAGAGATTCGTTTATTCATTTTCCTCGAAAGAAGGAGCAATTCACGAGATTTTTTTTGTTCCACCCGCGATGAAAGCGGGACAACCAGTTGGCACAGACGAGCAGAAAATATTCGCCCGTGTTTGTAAATTTGTAAGAAAGTTAGAGCAAAACTGTTCGTTGTTGATTTGCTTTAATGGATACTGAGTATAATCATGCGTTTTTTTTTCGCCTTGCGCTGCTTTGGTGTTGTTTTGACGAAACGTTCCTGTTCCCTTTCTCGAGTCTTCCGCTGCGTCTCTCAAGATCTGAATCCCCGTTCCCCTGTTTTTTGCCTTTTTCTACGTGATTTTCTACGAATTTTTCTCTGGGTGAAAATTGCACTGCCGGGGAGCACAGGGGAGCTCCCGTGGAAACGAAGGATTTCTTCCTTTTTCTGTCTCGTGTGTGGGATTCGCTCAAACCACTGGTCGCTTTGTCGCCAGCGTGACGTGGAACGGTTCTCGAGTGATCTCGGGAAGTTCAGAAAGCTATATATTCTTTGGGGAAGAACTTTTATTTGCCTGGGAATAAAAAGAGGAGGAACTGGGAAAGATTTCGTCCAACCTTTCTTCCCGGAAGATATTTTAGAATCCGCCGGGCGGGGCGGAGAGATTTCTAATCTGGATTTCAGACTGAGCATAATAGCAAATTAGAAGGGGAAACGATTTTTTTTTTATTGGCTGTTGTGAGCTGTTGGACTCATGTAACCCATTTTAGAGGATCATGTTAGTAGGGCAAGCAGAAAATTCGCCGGCTTTCTTCTGCTTCCACTTGCTGATTTTTATGTGATGACGTTGATGTGTTCTGAGCGGGGCTCCTCGCTCGCACCTCCTTGGATCCGCGTCGTTAGCAATTATCTCTCTCTCTCTCTCTTTATCCGCCTGCGTTCGGAAAGCTGGTGTTCGCGGTTCATTCATGATTTCTCTCCAGGCAGAGCTGGTGTTTTGGCGATTGATCGAAACTTGCAAGTTGCAACTGATGAAGATCCATGTTTCGTTACAGCAGTCGAGTTCTAATCGTGGGATTTCAGCGCACCGCCAATTGGTTAATTCGAATCTTATCAGCGAGCTTCTGATAAAAATAGTCAAATCAGCCACGTGAGCCTGGGGAGAAAATCGGTTCCACTACAAAAAAAAAAAAAAAAAGAAGCTGCATTTTTGTTCGCTGCCGGAGAGCCATGAAGCCATTGATGATATCCTTTTCCCGACGGCACTGCGCGGAGTCGGTGAATGTGTACATTTGTCACTAGTCGCGTGGATTTCGTTTTTTGCAGAAGTTTTGGACGACGGTCTTTTGAGTTACCGAAAATAGGATAAACGCAAACCTCGAAATCGGCTTTCTTGGCTTTTTTGTTGTTGTTGTCTTGTGCCCTGTCGCCGGATTTTTAGTCGTTTTCTCGTTGGGGGAGTTTTTTTTTCAGTGTCATATTCAGCGCTTTGCGTATTGGTGGGATAGAAAATCAGAGCTTTGGAGAATTTCTGGTTCGCAAGTTTTACGCCAAATCGGTTTTATGCTTTTTCGGTCCCGCAACTGCAAATGTGGTGGCATCAGCGGATTCGGTTTCCATCAAGCGACATTTTGTTTGTTTTCCCCCCTCCCCGTTGAGGTGCCAGTCTTAGAAGAATAAACGCTGCGTGAGAAATTTCGACATGGTACTGCGCGCAAGTGGCTCATATCACGATTTTCGATTCGCCCCGCCGCGGTTCAGCGACTAGGGTCTCTCCTGTGATCGGTTCATCCTTCCCGACGGCAATTCCTTTTTCTTTTTTTGTTTCGTTTTTATTTCGCGGCTTCGTTCGTGTCGGCGGATATTGAAGTGTTGCGGTGGCTCGTCGACGTTAGTGGCGCCTCGTCGGAAGGTGTATTTTTTATTTCTTTTTTTTCGGGGTACCGCTGTTCACTTGAACGATTTCTTCGCTGAAATATGTTGTCCTACTGAGTGGGTCCAAGTTTTTGACGTTTGATTTTGATTTTTCCTTCTCGCGAGTGATAGGAGAGGGAGTTTTTTGAATCAAGTAAAGGAAAGAAAAAAAGAAATTTGTGAATTCGTGTTTTTTCTTCTCAGAACATGTTCTTCCTTATTGCCCAGATGTTTGGTCCAGTATAGATAGAAAGGTTTTTTTTTTGGCTGATGTTAGAGGCGAATGTCGCGGTGCACAGACCGCTGAAGTGTTCTGAACAAAGTTGAAATTTAATTAAAAGGTTTGACTTAATCCTCTGGGGAACTTTGCAGGGAATTTCCTGGGATACATAAAAAAAAGAAGTGTATGTCACATTTTTCTTGAATAATAAGGTGAAACTCTCAGATTTGCATGCAAATCTGAACGAATTGGAATTCTTTCGAGTGGTGGGATTTCAGGAAAGGAAGGAGGATAGTATCTTGAAAAATTGTTCGGGTCAATCGTTTGATCACCGGGAATTTTTGGAGGAAGATTTTGTTGGCGTGCGAGGCAATTTGATGCCTGGACCAAAAAGAGTTGACAAAATTGAACTTGAATTACAATTTATGATTGAAAGAATATGAGGCACAAACCACCGGGTATCTTCGTAGGGGATTTGCTTGCGGAAATTTCAAAACAAATAATGGTATTACAGATGCATATTTTTATTTTGTTGGAAATACTCTGGTGAGTTGAAATGCTCGAATTTGAACACGCACCTGAATACAAGCAGATCCTGCTGAGTTGTGCAATTTCTGGGAAGGAAGAATTCAGGAAAAGGAGGATATCATCATGGAAAAACAGCGGGTTGATCATGTGACCACCAGGAATTCTCAGTGATCATGTATGTACTTAAATTTTTGCCCCATCAGCTTCCTTCTCTGCTCCGCATTTTTTTTCAGGATGCAGAGTGTTTTTTCTGAAGGTAACAATTTCTTTTCAGGGACCAGTCTTCAATGTGTCAACTTCTCATTCTTGGTGGTTAGTGGTTAGACTGATGTTAGAGCATCAACACTGAGCAGGAAAGCAAGCTTATTCTGTACTAACTGACAATTATACCCGCTGAATTCACGTTATCTGAAGGCAAATTGAAATTCAGTGCATGGGGGCTGCGGGTTCCGAAGAACATGCACTGCAGTGCATGTAAGTATTCTGAGGAATACGAGAAATTCGTAATGAGGTTGCGGAATTTCGTGATTTTTGGAGAATGGGCATATTCTTGAAGGAAAAATCGGTAGTTGAACTGCATCATTCAACGTCTTCAAACTACAGTACTTCAAATACGGTAATTTCGGAAGTTTTCTACTTTTTTCATTATGCTATGCTTTAGGGCCGTGATAATCCTCTTATCGTTGGCTCGGTTATTTTCGGGAAACTTGAAAAAGCGCTTGTCTCGTCTGACTTAATATCTGCGAGTGAAATGTGTCATTGGAAATGCAATGTAGTGCAGTACAGTAATGAAGAATGAAACAAACTGTATAGTGTTTGACAAAGCCGCTTCAGTGACAGTGTTTGAAAAAGTACTTCGGTCATGTGTCCACGCGATTTTATGGTTCTGTGATGTTCATGAAGCATACAATTTTCGAAGTACAGCATGTGAATGAAAGATGGCATCGTGCGTCCTTGAATAACTAAAGAATGTACAGGTTCAAAAGTACTTGCAATATAATAGAAATGTGACTTTGTACGAGAAGGCATCTATTTATTCAAAGCAGCGCCTGAATTTCCTGTCCCTCGAATTGGCAACGATTGACGAATATCTCAGATTTTTTTAAATATTGATTGAAATACCTTTGTTTATTCGGCACGTTTTTGTGGACCATTATCGAGCGCACTTCATGACACCCATTTGATTGTCATTTTACTGCTGAACATTATATGGTTTGAGCATCAGCGGGGATAACAGCTTATATGCTGCTATTTTGACGTGGAAAGGGGTGTATCATGCGTACGAGTACGACGCAGTACGGCTGGTATACATTTAAACGGTGCCATATTTTAATTTTTCTTCTTCTTCGCCACGTTCCCACGTATACTGTACATACAGTTATGGGCACCGAGATACAGACATGATTGGTGCTTGGACCTTGTCTCTACACTGGAACATCCCGTTTTCCCTTACATCATTCCTGGGTGTCTATTTAATGTAATTAGTTCTACTGTCAAAAAATCACCGAAAATTTGAATGAAATAATTTTGCTCAAAATCAGACACCGAAAATGACAGTGCAGAAGAAAACCATAGTAAATCGGATCTTTTGGAATGAAAAGTAGCCCAAGAATCACACAACAAACACAAGTCTTCCCACGCTGTGCACGTAACAGATGTTATGGAAAGAACTCTGAAAAGTTGACACAAAATTAGACTATCTTCGATTATGAATTATAGTAAATGTATAATAACGCATATTTTCAATTTTGCTGCGTTATGAAAAGCTCACTTTGTTCAGGAGATACAATACCAAACTTTTGAAGAACATTTTTTTTTCTAGAAATGTTGGTCATGTTGAGAATACCTTGAAAAAGTGTCCACGTATTTGGACACATTATTCATTCAGTTTCAGCAAGTGTTCCAAAGTCGATTTTTCCCCATGTTATTGGGGGCCTCCGCATGTTGAGGCGGCCCCACCGTGTATCCGTGGGTCGTTCGACATCGTCGACATCGACAGCGACACCGAGACAACCAAGTGAACAGCCCAGAGCAGCGTGCAAGCGAGAAAATGTGCAGACTCGTGATTGCCCTAAGCTCCCCGCAAGCCTCCTTCCCGCTATTTCATTCCGTTCCATTTCGCCTGTGGTTAATCGATCCGTCGTCTTGTAACGGGGCCCTCCGCGCGATTTTCGCCCATCGCATTATTCGCCGTCGTCCTGCTGCTGCTGCTGCTGTGTGCTGGATGGAGAGCCAGCAGGGGAAAATCCCTGCCCGCAGGGGGAGGACGACCGGGCGCGGGGGAATAAATTTCCCGGCCCTGGGAAACTAATCGACGGTTCAATTATTAGGAAACAAATCCGGGGTGCGATCGGGAGCGATCGCGATTAATCCCTCTGCTGCTTCGTCCACCCGACTCTGACTCGTTCCCTCTCTCTCTCTCGCTCTCGTTCTGGCTCTTGTATATATATATATATATATATACAGTAGTCACTTATCGTCCTGGGCCTTCTTAGATCGGGTATATACTGTATATATATGTTGCTGTCGAACCTCTGTAAGTCGAACTTCAAGGGACCAGCAAGAAAAATAAAAAAATCGGGTTAGGGATGAGGTTTCGAGTTCGGTAAACGAGCGTTTTTGCTGGGGAGAGAGAAAACAGAATTGCAGCAAATTGTAGTTGGCGTTATTCTTGGCCTCAAATTGCTTCATGAACGAGCGAGTTGACAGGATGCTGAACTTTGAGGCAAGGGTTTATCGGCCTGAATACAGTGATTCATTTCCTTTGGAAACAAATCATGTTACACTTTTATTGATTTTCTCTTTCCAGCAGTGTCAATGAAACAATTGCCAAAAGGAAAAAAAGAAAGTGCAAGTTGTGACTTTGGAGGTTATTTAGTGCACATTTTTAAACGGAATTAGGACGGGGACTTGGAAACAAATGACACAGGGATTTATCCAATATATCCGACTTGGAGAAATTTGAATTATTGAGGTTCAATTGTACCTTATTATAAGAAAACATGGCGTAGCTGGCGAGGGACACTTCTGAAAGAAAAAGAGAATCATCTCCGTTTCGTCTTGATCGTCTTTTCCTTTTTCACGACAACATATAATTCAACTTCTTCTACAAAATTCATTTCCGGCTTTAGGTTGACATGCAGGTGCATTATGTTGAATGAAAGTATTCCTGAAAATAGTTTGACACACACTAAATTTTGTAAATTTAAAATATTCAGCGTCAACAAGAAAAGAACTTAACGACTGTATAGTAGCTTCCTTGATTTTATACAGTGCTCTAACTCCACCTCAGAAATCTTATTCCATGTAGGACAGAGCGCAATACTAAGTTCTTCGTAGTTTCATACATAACCACCATACTTCATATTTTCTAAAAAAAATTAATTCAATCCATCCTTTGATTCCAACTTATGCGCGGGTGGCCGAAGTCAGCCTTTTCAAACCTTGTAACGTATGGAGGGGCAATTATTCGTACCAGTATTAGACAAGTTCCCCACGTACGCATGTACCTGTAGCAGTACATGTACCAACAAATTGACAAACCATGCTCCAATGAGTGAACCGTAGTAATAAAACCACAAATCTTTCCTGATGCTTCAGGTATATTTCAAAAAAGTGTTCTGTACTTAATTTTCACCACAATTGTTAATAATGTTCAGGCTTCATTGAAGACATGGAGAATAACTCTTCAATTGCGGCGAATTTCATGCTTCCTCTGACCCTGTACAGAAGGGTTATTCAAACTTTTTGATGGATTGACAATGAAATATTTGCTCACCGTCATCTGTATACAATATTAACTGCTATCTACGTTCGTATGTTGTATTAGTTCTCTTGTAAAGTAAAAAATATATACATATATCTACGCGCTAGATGTTTGCTTCAAGTCATATTTCCACCTTTAGTACAAGTATTTCTGAATTCTGGGCCGAGTGAATTTCCAAAAAAAAAATGGCTTGGACATCTCCTTAGTATCGGATGTGACACACTTTTTCATGCTCCTTTATATTTTCTTGGGATAATTCACCAACCTTTGAAAAGATCCCCTGCTGAACAAAAAAGCGGCATATTTCCTCTAACATGCGCAAATTCTGGAAAAGTACTGAGGCTGGAATGTTACCAGCAGCTTTTGAAGTACTGTACTGTATGTAGCTGCTGGACTCCACCTCAAAGAGTATGTCTAAAACCCAAATTAAAGCCCAGAAACCCTTATTGATTTTTGCTTCTTCTTTTTTTGACAGATTTATGTAATGTATATGTCTGAGCGACAATTCAGTCATTTCATTCCCTCACTGTGGGATCGAATCATAATACAGCATTGTGTTCAATAATAACTGTTCACCGGTGCATATATACAAAGGAGGAATGCGTCTTGGCGAAATCGCGTTCGAGTGCAGCGCAGTTGGCGCAATATCGGCGAGGGATCTTTTTGCGGAGGGATCCCGTCGTCTCGCGAACAAAGCGGGTCGGTGTTATTCCGCTGTAATGGAGCCGGAGGGAATAAGAGGACAAACCGA